TCATCTCCATTTTACAGGCAAGGGAATTACTTCTCCCTCCATAAAGCTGAAAATTCTAGTGTCTTATCTAAGGTCAAATAAGAGACATCATGATAGTTAAGAACATGGTCTTTGAAATCCAGCAGACCTAGAACCAAAGCCTAGTTCTCTCTCTTATTAGCTACATGACCATCGACAACTAATTTCATCTCTTTGTCAAAGGTGGTCAATAAGTAGAAGACAAAAATCAACACAACTTTACTGAGTGCCTTGGTCCATTAATAATATCTTCCACAAGTCTGAGAATAAGAGGAGACTTACATGTGCACAGAATTTGCCAAAATGTGCTAAGTGCCTTACAGGTATGAACTCATTTTACCTTCGCAACACAATACGAGATAAGGACTTATTACTTTCTCCATTTTACTAATGAGAAAACAGATGTTCAAAGTTTAATTAACTTCCTGCAGGCCAGCCAGAAAGTGAGTGGTCCTGCTGCAATTTGAGACCAGCTCTATCTGTCCTAGTTCCCCAGCCTTAACCACTCTTCCATACCCACTTAACATTACAGAAACTCCATAATGAGCTCAGTTCCTTTTAGGTAACATATTTTTTATCTTAACTGAGTGTCTAACCCAAAAGACTGTCTATAAATGGTATAAATTTTGGGCTGAGGGAGTCTCAGCTGGATCGGGGGGGCCTTTCATCACTAATACTAGGATTCTTGGTAGCAGACACCTTGGAAAGCAGAGTCTTCCCTAGGAAGCTAAACCCCATTTTGAAAAGAGGAAGTGTGGAGGTGGGTGGGACAGAGGAGAAGGAAGGCACAAGAAGCCTGAAGGCCAAGGAAGGAGATTCTTTTGAATTTGGAAGCAAACATACAATTTATCCAATTAACCTTACCTTTGGCCAGCCTCTACCAAGAAGGCAAGAAAGCTCTTCTGAGCTTTAGAGCAAATTAGAGAAAGAGCAAAGATGCTAAGTAGATTCCAACCCCTGAGCCAACATTGATTACTGGTAGTAGCTGCTGGGAGAAGGATATATTAAGAAGGATCATGAGACTCTGCTCAGGCTCAGCTGGGGAAAAATATAAATAAAAAGCCGTGGCCCATTAGTGATATCTGCCATAGGTTTGGGAGCCACTCACGTGCCCAGAATTTTCCATTCCTGCTTATGGGATGTTGCAACTTGGACATCATCTATAGGAGAAGTTAACTGGTTCAGGTCCAGCAAGAGAGCCACAGCGTTCCAATGGCACTCTACTTCCGCCAACTTCGCAAACAAGCAGCATTAACAGTGAGAAAGGACCTCATTTGAATTTCTTTGGTTTTAATTATTTTGAAGAGAGGTAGGCCACCAATGCCAAGACCCTTTAGGAAGAACTAAAAACCAAAGAGATTCAGGCCAGCTTGGGGGGGGGGGGAGTAGTTCCAGCCAATTAGCCTTCCTTTGTGACATGGCCACCCTTCATCGCACCCTCCGGAAGCCTTAATAACACTCATGTGTCGACAGGACCTCAGGGGAGGGGACAAAGCAGTGAGCCAAACCTCAAGGGTGAGAGGAAAGGGAAAAAAAAAAAAAGTAAAATCTAGAATTTCAGCCCCAAACTGGACCCTTGAATGGCTTAACTGCTGTCATGATTTTTTATAGAGCCCTCGCTGGGCCTTCCTGACCACCAGGAACTAGGCCTCGAGCTCCAGGGGCCTGGTCTTCCCTCTGCAGACTTGCTACTGCCTTGCCAAACAGGCCAGTCCCAGCCTCTCAAAGTCTACAGTCTTCCAGCTCTGATCTCCCCAATGGATCAAACTTTCCATGGCTAGACTATTAAACAGAAAGCAATCCTACTGTTTCCTTTAATGAGCAGCTTTTACAGGGTGCCAAATGCCCTTTAAGGAGCCCAGAAGCCAAGAGCAGTCTCCTGGGTTCCAGAAACCCCAGCCTAACCCAGAGGCAACAGGAGGCAGAGACATTGACACAGACTCAAATTAGTCTCCAGGGGACCTGCTTGATCCAAGCTTTCACGAGATGTGTGGGATACTGGAGTTACCATTAATGCTGATTCCAGGCTCTGCTGGGTCCTTGTGAGAATAGGCCCAGTCTCTCCAGGGCCATGGTTCTGGAGAATGTAGGACGAGAAATCTCTACCATCTGTCTCCCTAAGGAAGGCAGAATCTGTTAGATAGCCAGAAAGCCCTCCTGCTCTATTGAGCAGCTCTATTGAGATGGATTTATATGTACAAAGGTGGACATGAAGCAGAGTTTAAAACCAGAGAAAACTGAATGAACTGACTTAAGAGAATAAGAATAATTAGAAGTTGAAGAGCCATCCAGGAGAGAAAGTGAAATAGCTAGGAGAGAAGGTGGCCTGAGGCTAAAGCCAAGCTCCGGATACAAAGTCCTGGGGCTGGGGGCTCTGGGCACAGCCATATTGATGTTCAATTTGAAGTTCTTTGCTTTTTTGGCAATATAAACTGTTCCTCTATCCTGCAACCCCACGTCAAAATTTCAATAAAATCTAGTAAATATATACATGGCTTCGTGTGAGTAGGGCTTTTGCATAAACCCAAAAAAGGTCTAAGTTTCACTTCTGGTCCAATTTGGAAGACGTAATTGTATGTGTTGGTAAACTCTGGTTGCAGGGGTTAGGGACCAGAGTGATATTGGGTTCAACCCCTAAGAATTGACTACATCTTCCAGTGCTTTCTCCACTTTATTCTAAGTGGGGAGTGAATTGTATTGACAGGTCGTCTTTTACATTTTTCAACTCTCTTTTCTATGTTGAAGACATATTAGGACAGACACTACAGAGAAGTGGTAAAGAATACCACTTTAGGATTGAAACAAATATGAGTCTGAATTCCAGGTCCACTTTACTGGCTATGTAATTCTAAGCCTCAGTTTCCTCATCTATTAAATGGGAACAAGTGACATATTCTTTTTAATGATCATTCTTTATACAGGATCAATGAGATACTACCTATGTGAAATGTTTGTCATGGTAACTCACCCATAGTTAACACTCAAAGAATGGTGGATTCTCTTGTCCATCCGTCAGCAATGATGATGATTATGGCCCCACTGACATCAATGATTTCTGATTATAAAGCTCCTATAATTAGAAGAGGGAGGAAAAAGCACTGGTAAAATAGATTTTTAAGACAAAAGGGAAATAAATGTTGCAAATCTGCTCTACTGACCGTCATTGGTCTGGAAAACAAGCGCAAAATAAACTTTCCTGTGCTTGTCACTGAGATGCGAAGATTGTTTCTTACCACAATTAACCTATGTGTGCTCATGCAGTCACTGGCCAAGTTTGATGGGGATATTAAAAGAAAGGAGGTTGGAGAGTTGGATATGTGTTTATACAGAGACGAGTGAATGCTGACCTCTGTCTAAAACCTCATCAAATCAAATGTGCTAGGCTTGGCTTTTCTCCCATGCCACATAATCCTTCCTCTAACTCTTCAGTTCCAAGTGAATTATATTTTCTTCTTGGGAGATTACATATATGTGTGTGTGTGCGTGTGTATACATATATATTCCTATATTCAATTTGAATTTAGTTAATTTCTAATTTCCTGCCCTCAATGTGCCTTTTTGTATAGGAACCTCATTCCTTATAACTCTGGGCAATCTCCTTTCTGACACCCTGCTTCCCACTTCCTCCTCCTGGCCCAGCTGCCTTCGTGGAGACTGTTGAATAGACTTTGGCACACACAGATTCCCAGGTTATCTTTGTTGGGGGTTCATCATTTTGTTTGCGGTCTGAAAAATAATGCCTCCTCGTGCTATAGAAGCCAAAAAGAATTTATTTCCTTCAAGAGAAGTTTCAGGAGATCCTGTATCACTGGCTTAGACAAATCCAGCTTGATTACATTCATTGTCTTCTTGTCTCCTCACACACAACAGTTGGGTTTTTAAAGGAAGGTGTAATGTGAAATTGAGACGTTCCAGTTTCACTTTTTCCATCGTACCTTCAGTACAAAAGCCCTACCTTGGAAAATGAGAGTGAGAATTCTTTAGTTAATCACAGGATTTCAGATCTTTCCAGAGGGTAAATAAGGAAGATAAAAATAGTCTTTTTCCAGAGTCAAGGCTGGAGGACACAAAAGTATATTAAAAGAGAAAAGCCCTTGAGGCCAAAGAAAAAATCAATTGGCTTAAAAAATAAAAATATAAGTGACAAGCTCTCTTTGGGGAACAAAAAAAAAAAGCCATTTTTCATGGCATGATTGGCATGACATTGACAAATGTTCTTTTTACTGTCCAAAGTCACTTCTAGGAGATCGGTTTCTCTAAAAACAAATCTACTCAACACTCCATCATCACTAGAGTATTTCAGTATGTTTTTTGCTAGCTATTAATCTTACCATTTGTTCTCTCCCCCTTGACTAGATGGGAATTCTCACTTTATGCAATGAGGTGAAAAATAGCTTCCGAATCAGATGTGGTTTTTAGATCATGACTCTGTTACCTAAACTTCACTATGTCTTCTTCGTTTCCCCATATGTAAAATCAGGAAATAGCTACATTATAAAGTAGCTTTAAAGATTAAATAAGAAACTATAATTATAATAGTAGTTAATACTATATGCAAAGTACCTTGTATATGTTAATTTATTTAATCCTCCAACAGTCAATCCCATGTGGATACACTATTACCAACATCATTTTGCAAATGAGAAAGTAGAGGCACAAAGCAGTTAAGTAACTTGCTCAAGATCACTTACTGTAACAATCAGGAAGTGCAATGGACTAAAAGCTTATGTTCCTCCAAAATTTATTTATCAAAATCCTAACTTCCAAGATGATGATATTAAGAGCCCTTGGGAGGTAATTAGGCCATGCAGACGGAGCCCTGATGAATGGGATTAGTGACCTTATCAAAGAAACTTAAGCAAGAACCTAAACCCCTTCTACCATGTGAGGACAGGTGAGAAGGTGCTTTCTAAGAGGTAGTGGGCCCCCACCGGAACTAAGAATGTTTAACAGGACAATTCCAGGGACTACCCAATAGAACCATTCTCCCCTCTCAGCCAGAGGGGGCAAGAGGAGAGACTGCTGTAGCTGAATCCAGGTGGGAGCCATGCACATGGGAGAGAGGGTCATAGATAGAGAAGGCCAGCCACGGCCAAAACCACAGTGTAGCAGGAAATGAGAGAGTGGATTGATATTGTTGACTTCTCTTTTCTCTCACCCTCTAATCTTCTGCCAGCACTTTCCATTGATCAAACTCAACTGGAAGCCAGAAGTCAAGGAAGCTCAAGTGATATTGAGCATAGAGATCAGCAACCCAGTGCAGAGTAAGGCTGAGAATAGACCAGGAAGGGCAAATGGAGAAAAACTGAACATGGTAGAGATAGAATTCAAATCCATACTCTTAACCACTCACTGTATTGCCTCTCGAGGGTAAACCAGTTATCTTTTCTCCTCTGTATCTGCGAAGTCCTGAGTGCCTCAGCTCCAACCCACCTTGAAAACAAACGGCCCTTTCATTTAAAGTCATGACTTTCACCAGAAGGGCTCAATGCACAGGAGTACTAATGGCTCACTTGAAAGAGTCCCCATTAGACAGGTTTTATTCCCCAGCCACTTTTCCTGGTTCTAGCCACAGGACCCAGTTCTTCCCTCACCCTTCATGTACAGCAGGCTGGGACCCTCCTTATGCCCCTTTGCCCCACTTTCTACAGCAAAAACTCTCCTTACCTTGAGCCTGGGCATAGCCTGACCCTCCCTGGCCCCAGAGATCTCCTTCCACATCTCCATAGGTTGAAGAAAGTAACTTTTCAGAAAAAAAAGTTCTCTCTCTCCACAAAGAATTCTCACACCATCTACTAAGAAAACATTTGTCCTTTATCAATATAGGGCTTAGCACAGTGCACAAAAGAGGACTCATTAAATGGAAATTGTTATTATTGCTATTATTAGTATTATTGTCACTTTGCCTAAGTGAGGGTCAATAGAAAGCTGACGGCGACTGTGGAGGGCTACGAAAATGCAGAAGGGCTGAATTCTAGGCACGAGAGACGATGCTTCTGTGAGAACATCTGGAAACATTTCCCAGAACATGCACAGCTATCTTGGACACCATAACGCATTTCTGTCCAGCCTCTTCACTGTGGGTTCTGGCAACATTCTTTGAATTGCTCTTCTCCAAAATCACTCTCCTAGGCAACTTCATCTACAAGATTTTTTTCTGTTGTTCTTCTTCTTTTCCTGAAACACCCTAATGCATATTATTTTTCAAAATGTTGAATTTCATGCCATGAAAATTGTATTCCTGGCTCTGGGTTAGCATGATATAAGAAACTTGAATAACCATGACCAAAGGAGGGCTAATCTTTTGTTTTTTAACTTTTAAACAGACATTTTTGACATTGCCCATAAGTCTCCAATCCTTTCAGACATTTGTCTAAACCAAAGTACATTTTCCTATCCAAATATATAGCAAGTTCAAGCTTGTTCCCATTACTTCACCCTCATTTGCCTCTACAAGCTATCAAATATATTATACACGGAAGACATCTAAAGCTACAGAGATGTGCTTGCAGGTTACTAAATCTTTTTTAATTAGCTCATTTATGTTTACTGTATATATTTAAGGTATACTTTTTAAATAAACATATACATAGTGAAATGATTATATAATCAAGCAAATTAGCACATTCGTCACTTTTCATAGTTATCTTTTTTCCTTGTCATTATTAAATCTTCATTCATCAATCTCCTTGCTTTAAATGATAAACATTTGATGCCTACAAAATGGGTAATGGTGTGAGTGGGAATGAGAACAGTACTATGAAATGAAGATAACATCAGAGGTGAAGAGTTATGAAATTAGTGGCCTGTCCTCACTGTGGAAATATAGATACTTCTATTCCAGTGCATATTTTCACAGAGTAATCTGGATGCAACCCGTGGATCTGTCCACTCTTCACTGCCTCCCAGCCACCATCCAAATTCAAGCTCCTGTCATCTCGCTCCGCACTAAGCTTCTGTATTGGACACTTCTTCTGTGTCACCTGCCCTCACTGCTGCTTGGAATGTGGGGTGCTTGTGGGGATTGCTCATTCATTCTGCCTCATCCTTCTATGCAAGGTAGTTAACACCCCAGTGGGTGCCCCAGACCAATTCAGGACCCGAGCTGAACAATCCAGAGTTGTATTCCCTCTTGAGCTCTAAGAGGGTCTCCAGTGGGATGGAGCCCCAGCTGTCTGCAGAATGTGTAAGCATCTTCCACTCCACTGAATTGATTTTTCCTCCTTTCGTGTCTAACACTTCCTAGTCCTCCAGTTCTGTCCCTTCAAGCACTTCCTAAAATAAACTGCCTACACACAAGCCCTCGTCTCAGGCTCTGCATTGTAAGGAAACTCAGGCTACAACAGCCTCCTAACTTTCCCCAACTCTCCCTTTTAATCTTCTGTAGTCTCTTCTATAGTAGCCAGAGTAGGTCTTCTAAAATATAAATCATGCTAAGTAATTTCCCTACTCACAAACTTCTAATGGCTTCCAGCACATTCAGAATAAAATCCAAAGTATTTTTAATGACTCTTAAAGCTCAGCATGACCTGGTCACTGATCCCTCTTTGATTCTATTATGGTTTCTGTCATACCACTTGCCACCATATGACCTTATATTGTGCATTTGCTTATTTATGGAGCATCTTCTTTACTGGTATGCAAGCTCCGTGACAGCAAGGACTTGTCTATCTTATTTACCGCTCTATCCCCCTTGCCCAGCCTAACACTCTGTAGGCATCAAAAAGTATTTGTTGAATAAATAATGGGACAGGTGATTTTCATTATGTATGTGGTTATAATGCTAGAACTAACATTATATCAGACAAGAGAAAAAAACAACAACCTTGCTCTCAGTTTCTTTGTTTGAGTGGCTTTGTGGTATGCTTATCCAAAAATGGGTGATAAATGTGATAAAAATGGCTAAAAGGCCTTGTGCCAGTGATAGTCTTGGAGAGGATTAAAAAAAAACAAAGGCCATTCCTCTTGATCAAAAGCTAGATGTAATCAAGGCTGGATTTGCCCAGGGATATTAGCTTTATAACTATAGACTTGAAGCTATAAAAACACCAGTATTATTGAAATCCCTGCAGGCAAAATGACTCTATTATTGTGAGTCTAAATGGTCCAGCCCCAAATCCCCTATTTACTCTTTGAAATAATTATTTTTAAAGTGATTTATACAAAGAGGTTTCTCAGGAATGCAACTATAACACTATAGCACAGATCGTTCCCCTGTCCCAATGAATGGAATAATATTCCAAATATATTAAGAAAATGTTCCTTGACACACAAAAGGAAGTCTTATAAAAAGAGTAAATGATGGGAAAGCCCTGTTTAAGCATAGAGAAATCACAACACTATTCTTAAAAAGAGCTAGAGGCCGGAAGAAAATACCTCCTTGTTGAGGTCATAATTACTAAAATTCAGCGTGGCCAACAACACTAGAGTGAAATCAGGCATATATTTGGCAGCCACTAGGGTGACAGTCCCTCATATATGGCCCCAATTCTATCATATCTAACTATATGAGCTGAATGAGTCACTAACCTTTCTGTTACATTCTCTTGAGGGCAAGGACTGTCTCATTCACTGTATATTCTTAGCATCTACAACAGTACCTGGCACAAGGGAAGTACCCAACTGATAGGTGCTGAATAAGTGGGTTTGCAAAACTAGCTGAGGCATAACTTATACTTTTAAAAGGCTAGTGTAACTTCTAGCAAGACTCATTATGAATTATTTCCTTATTATTTTTTGAATATATCCATTTGTAATTTTACCAGCATCTTATTTGCATTCATTGGGCTAAATTTGCTTTTGATTTCCATAGCCAACATGACTCTCATTAGGATATTTTGATTATTTCAAATTAGAAAAGAATCATGTCCAGTTAACAGGGATTTTTGTGTGAGTTGATAAAAAAATGCTATGTATAAGGTCGAAGTCATGACATGATTTTGGTCTCAAATTCTCTTTGAAACTAAAGATATTTTGATGGTTCTTTATGAAAAGAGCATTGGATGCTGAATCAGGATACCTAGGTAAGTAATTTGGGATTAGTTCTTTACTCTCTCTGAGTCTTACTAGTGAAGGAATTGTAGGAAATGAATGCTCTCTTCCCAGGCTAAACAAGAGCTGTGACTATTGTGAATACCAAGACATGTTTTTGGTGATATGCTTCTATTTGGTCTGTCTATGGGTCCTGGAGGAAGTGAGGAAAGAGGTTATGTATCTGTTATCTATTACTACATAACAAACTACACCAAAATTTAATGTCTTCAAATAACAATGTGTCATTATATTTCACAAGTTTGTGGTTGACTGGGCTTAGCTGGGTGGTTCATCTGCTCCACATGGTGTAGCTGAGGTCACTCAGTGCTGCATCCAACTGTGAGCTTAGCGGAGGCAGGAATGTCCAAACTGGCTCTTATCCTTCAGGGTCTTTTCACATGATCTTTCGTCATTCAGTGGTCTGTCCTGAGCTTCTTTACAGCATGGAGATTGGATTCCAAGAGGAAGCTTTCCAAGAAGACATGCTGCCATGTGCAAGTGTTTATGAAGCGTCTGTTTGCATCACATTTATTAATATTCCATTGGCCAAAGCAAGTCACTTTGCTAATCCCAAGGCAAGGAGCATAAGGATTACACAAAGGCATGAGTACCAGGAGGCATGGCTCGCGTTGTAAGAGCAAATAGTGCAAAATGGAGATAGAACTTTGCAGATTAAGATGTTTCTGCAGAACCTGATCATCTTCTCCCAAAGAACTTGTGTCCTTGTTCTCCAGATTCTTCTAGCCCACTAAATGTCATTGCTTCTGACTAGGGCAGATCAATGTCTTGAAATCATTAAGCATTTCCTCCCCAGAAATACAACCATGACATAAATGGCAATTTCATCATTACAGGAGTTATCTAGAGTTATTTTTCATACATGAAATATTTTTGCCACTTTAATCAGATTAACTGTAATAATCTAGTGAATAATGAGGGAGGCTGTATGATCTAAAGGGCTAGAGGAATTTTAATCCTGCCTCTGGAAGAGTACAGCAATAAGTCTTTATTGAGGCCCTCTAGTGTGCCAGACTTTTAATAGGCAACTAGTGTGTGGAAATGTAAGTATAATATGGGCAAAAAACATGAACAGAAACTTTTCAAAATAAGATAGACTAATGGCCAACAAATATATGAAAAAAATGCTCAATATCTCTAATCACTGGTGAAATACAAATCAAAACTACAATGAGATAACACCTAGCTCCAGTGAAAATGGCTTTTATCAAAAAGTCCCAAAACAACAAATGCTGGCATGGATGCAGAGAGATAGGAACACTCATACACTGTTGGTGAGACTGCAAACTAGTACAAACTCTATGGAAAGTAGTATGGAGATACCTCAAAGAACTTAAAATAGAACTACCATTTGATCCAGGAAATCCTACTACAGGGTATTTACCCAAAGGAAAAAAAGATATACTATAAAAAAGATACCTGCACACAAATGTTTATAGCAGCACAATTCACAATTGCAAAGATGTGGAAACAACTCCAGTGCCCATCAATACATGAGTGAATTAATAAAATGTAGTACATGTGGAGTACTACTCAGCAGTAAAAGAAATGGTGATCTAATACCTGTTATATTAGTCAGAATGGAGCTGGAGACCATTCTTCTAAGTGAATTATCACAAGAATAGAAAAACAAATACCACATGTATTCACCATTAAATTGGAACTAATCAATCAACACTTATGTGCACATGTGGAGATAACACTCATTGGAAATCAAGGAGGTAGGAGGTGAGAGTAGGGGATGGGTAAATTCACACCTAACAAGTACAGTGCATACTATCTAGATGATGGGCACACTTATAACTGACTCAGATGGTAAAAAAGCAATTTATGTAACCAAAACATTTATACCCCCATAATATTCCAAAATAAAAATTTTAAAAAAAGAGAGAAATCAAGACAAACCTAAAAAAAAGAGGGAAGTATAATGAAAACATCAGCACATCAAAATATAATTAAAAAGAGTCTTAATTTACTGGCATAACATATTAAAAACAATTACAACAATTATTACTGGGATTACTGCCACTATTTCACTCCTTTAAAAACCACGGTACTATATATTTTATATGCATTAATTCATTTAATCCTCACAGCCATCCTATAAGGAAGGTACTAGTATCCTCATTTTACAGAGGAGAAAATTAAGGCTTTGCAAGGTTAAGCAAATTTCCAAAAGCACTCAAGAAATTAGAGACAGGTAGACTTCAAATCTATGCACTAATGTATGCGGCCTCCAAACATTTACTGAATGCTTTCTATGTGCTAGATTCTGAATCTTTAATCTATATGTTCACTCATTACTTGTTCAACAGTAGTTTCTTGATCACCTGCCCAGAGGAATTCTAAAAAAGAATGGATGAATAGATGCTAGGGAGCAAGGAAAAAACAACAATAAAATGAGTTTCTACCTCTAGTCAAAAGTTGAGTCTGGAATCTGGCATCACAAAGCACCACCCTCCACCCTGTGAAAGGTTCCAGGTGACTTACACTCCTCTGGGGAAACTTTGATCTCCCCAATCTGGGGTTTCCACTCTCTTGCTAGCCCTCCTGGTTACATGAGCAGGCCTCACTATGACTTTGAGTTTCTCTTTCCCCGCTGACATCATGTTTCATCTTCACGTCCAACATCACTTCTATTGACTTGAATGCATCAAGTGTTGTTGATGACTGAAGTTCAAGTCTTGGGGATAATGACTGAGAAAGATGCTAGAAAAATTGGATCCTATATTCTCACTTTAACAGTTAAGTTTTGGAAATAAGAACCTTTATCCAGAATTCTGAAATTATAAGTACTTCAAAAATTATGAAAAATTTAACGATATTCTCTGGACCTTATTATGGAGACATGAAAGAAGAATCAGTTAAGTTAGATATAGTCTGAAAAAATTCAGATCAGTTTTGAGTACACATTTACAGTAAAATGCACCAGCCCTAAGGCTCTCAAGTCATTCTGATTAAGAGAAATTTTCTTGTGTGAGGCACAGATTTGGGCCCTTGGAGTCATGTCTGGATAAAGGGCTGGCCTTCTTTATAAGAAGCAACTAAGGAAAAATAAAAGGCTGGAAAGAGACAGAATAGACAACAAAGTATAATAGGGATATAACAGGGATTCAGAGAAGACATAGGCTAGCTGGGTGGCCCGTCCCTAATAAACATCGCTGGAGGTTGGAGAGCTGCCTAGGAGTGGGAAGTGAGGACTGAGATGAATTACTGAATGAAGAAACAGGAGAAGGGCATTAAGTTGCATCTTCTCCACATGGGATCTTGAAGAGAAGGGGTGCATTTCTAAGAAGATGGAGGAAGTGGCTGCTTACTGATTTCACCTGAAGAAGGTGAACAGCCCCTCTTAGTCTCCCTAAGAAAATGCTCCTGCAGCCCTGTTGTGAATAAAATACCCTCAATGAGCCATCTCTTTCAATTCAGAAGTTTAAGAACCACTGTTAGGTTAGAATAAAAAAGAGCACAGGAAAAGAAGAGACTAAGGCATTACTAGCCATAAACTTCTTAGACCAATTTAAATTCTGATATCTATATTTTTTAAATAGAGGGGCCTTTCCTGGATGATTGAGCAATAAGTGATGTTTTACGCCTTCTTTACATTTTTTATGAACTTTATAGATTATTATGGTGATCAATATTACTTTTGGGGCTGGGCATGGTGGCTCAGGCCTGTAATCCTATCACTCTGGGATGCCAATGCGGGAGTATGGCTAGAGCCCAGGAGTTTAAGGTTGTTGTGAACTAGGCTGATGCCACAGCACTCTAGCCTGGGCAACAGAGTGAGACTTTGTCTCAAAATATATATATATTACTTTTGGAGTATGAGGACATAGTAATAATCAGGATATTTAAACTTTGGTTTAGTTCAGAAGAGTTACAGAGAATTTCTGGGATGAAGGTGGGTGCTATAGTAGGAACAGCATGAAGTTCAGGCACCTAAGGACTGAGAAAAAGAAAAGAGAAAAGGGAAATTTAAAAAAAAAAACTTTATCCATTTCACATTTTTTCCTAAAAATAAGCCTCATAGAAAAGAAAAAGTACCATTCAAAAAGAAACCACAAACTTAAAAAATAGGATATAAGTATAATTTTAAGCTCTGTAAGTGGTTAAGATAGAAGGGGATTGAGTCTCCCAATCCCTAAAAGAGTGCATGCTTTCTGTTTCCTACAGAACATTTCCTGACTCCTATTTCTGTGAGAAAGCAAGGTTCCTTAACAGAAAGTACTGAATTTGACAAGAAGAATGTAAGTAAAGTTTTCTTACAAACATATGTTTTTCATTATAAATGTGAAAACCACATATTTCAAAATAGAGAAGAAAATTTGCTCATAATTTGGCATTGTGCTTTTTTCCATTTACCATATATCACATAGCAGAATCATTATTCCATGTTGCTACGTAGTCTTCATGGTCACCATTTAAACGGCCACTTGCCATTATGTATCATAATTTGTAAGTCTTTTCAAATATGCTGTATGTATAGAGCAGGCAAGACATCCAATTGGAAATGTCACCTAGACTGTGCCAGAAAAATTCTTTTTTTTTTTTTTTTTTGTGGAAGCGTTCAACTCTTTGCTTTCTATTTAATGCAAGGGTCTGTGTAATTTTTTCCATGGGCTCATTAAGTTATCACTGCCTGGAGAAAGGACTCTCTTCCCTAAGAGAGCATTTGTCTGTGAATTGGATGAAGACCTCACCAGCATATTTATCAAATTCGTAACTGGCCCAGGACTTGGGAGGCACAACCACTATGTCAGATGACAGATTCTGAATCCAAAAAGGATTTGATAGGCTGAAAGTACAATACGATGAATCAAACAAGGTGGCTTTTCACAGGGTAAGAGTTGAAAGAACTAAAGATATTTTGACTAGAGAAAAGATGCCTTAGAATGGACAAGATAATGGCCTTCAAATATCTGAGGGATTTTCACTATGAAAAGGGAATTCTAAAGAGAACTGTAATAAAAAATAACCATGGCTATAAGGTTCAAACTAAGAAATTGCTTCATAACAAATGGAGCTGTTATACAAGAAGCAATCCATTGCTTGTCCATTTATTCCACATTTGGCTTGTCCATTTATTCCACAAATATCTATTGAGCACACCTATACTTGCAAAGGGAGAATGTGGCAATCATATTCTTTACCCTCAGGGGGTCCACATTTTAGCCAGAGAGACAGGTGGACACAAAACAATCGAATAAACTAATTTAAAAATCAAAAATTGTGTGTTAGAAGATAAACATTTTAAAGGCTTGAAATAGAGATCAGTAAAAGGGATCCCTGCAAACAGTAAAAAAAAATCTTTCTGTGAAGGTGACACCTCAAGAGAGACCTACAGATGAGAATGAGTCAGTTATATAAATAGTAAGAGTAGTCCAGACAACAGCTCTGAAGCAAAAAAAACCCAACCAACCAAAGAAACAAACAAAAACAAAAACCAAAAGAGAATTTTTGGTGACTGGTGCTGGGGCAGAGTGTGTGAGGAGAATGGTGAGAGAGAAGGTAGGAGACACAGACAGGAAGCAGGGCCTTTGGGCATAGTAAGGAGTTTGGATTCTAATCCAAAGGCAATGAGAAAGCTGTTGAAGAAGCTTAAGCAAGGGAGACTTGACTGACTCTTGTTTGTAGAAGATCACTCTGGCTGCAGTGTGGAGAATGGATTAGAGAGAGGCTGGGGGGCGGGAAGCAGGGAGACCTGCTGGGAGGCTATCGCTGTGGTCCAAGAGAGAGGGGACAGTAGGTTGGACAGTAGGGGACAGAAGGGTGGCAATGGAGAGAAAGAGCAGATCCAGAGTAGAATTCTGGGAGAAACTAACTTCAAGGTAGATTTCTTGAGGCCTTTTCGGACTCTGACTTTGCAAGAGATTGAGAGGAGATTCTAGAAGAGACAGGCATGTGAACAATGCTCTCTGCGGACTCAAGGCATTGTTCCCATTGATTTGCACGCACAGGCTCTGTTTTTCTGAAAATTTTAGCAATGAAAGACACTATGTTAGACCACACTCCCCCAAAGAGTTAATTGCTGGCCTGGCCCTGGGAGGACTGGAATAAAACAGGAGCATGTGGAAGGCATCAAGCTTACATGAGCAGCACTAATGGGACCAGTCCACTGCCAGACACCGTCCCCGTAATGCTACAAATTACCAGAGCCTCTGGAATCCCAGGTCTGCAGCTGCTGCACAGATGTGTGCTGAGAACTGGGGTGAGAACAGAGAAAGGAGGGTGGAGCATAAAGAAGATTCCAATCAAACCAGGCCTCTTTGCATTTAGAGAAATAACCACCATTCCTATCTCCACAGAATAACCAGAAAGATCTTTTCAAAATGCAAATGTGATTATGTCTTCATTCTCATCTCCCAATCTTGAACCCTGTAGTGGCTTAGCCTTGCTTTTAGGATGAAGACCAAAATTCCTAGCATGGTCTGTAAGTGAGCTGAGCATATGTTCTGGTTTGCCCAGGGCAGTTGGGGTTTATGCCTGTTTTGGTAGATATTGATAGCCCTTCATTTTCCTCTCAAAAGTGTTTCAGTTTAGACAATAAATGACACGGGGCCCCCTCCTTGTAAGTTCCCATGTGGTCTTTCCACTGCAGATCTCTTCACCTGATCTCTTACCATGCTCTGAGCAGCACTCACTCTCTGCAAGCTTCTTTCTGGTCCTCCAACTCTCCATCATCCTCCTGCTCAAGGTGGCTTTACAAAAGGTGTCCTCTCTGGCTGGAAAGCACTTATACACCCTTCCCCTTGACCAAACTACTGCAGGAGTCCTCCTCCAGGTCCTCCCTGGCCAGAGAAACTCTCCCTTAGACTGCCTCTTAGCTCCCAAGATGGCATCCTTGGAGCATCTCTTTCATGGCACTCATCATAATGAGCTTGGTTATTTGTGATTCTTTGATTAATGTTCAACTATCTCTCCCATTCAAATAAGGGCAGTGAACATCTCCTTTTTGCTATTGAAAGTTGAATACCCAAGCAGACTTTGACTGGTCGAGTAAGAAAGTATATAAATGATGAATGAACAAATAATTGGTTACTTACTGGCTACCCCTGACAAAATAAAAGACAAACAAACAAAAGCTATCTATAAATACTAAATACATTAAGGAAATGGTAAGAGATGACCTATTGAAATATTTATATTTATTTGTAAGATATGTACATATGTATCTCTGAAGTAAGTATTGACTTTCATACTGTTTCCCTCTTAAAGCTGGACCCCAGTCTCAAAAATATGACAATAAAAAAAATATATATGACAATAATTCAGTGTACTTCTCAAACTCCTCTTTGGAACTTGCCTGAAAAGTCTCAGTACATTCTACTGAACCTCCTCAATAATGGCACAATTACACCCTACAGAAGGTGGTTTTGTTTCAGGAAAAGCCAACTGGCATTTAGTGCCAAGTTTGAGGAACAAGCTTGGGGACCCCACCAGGGAGAGGTGTTCAGGTCAAAAATGAGGTGAAACTTCACAGAGACTAAATCTTTCACCTGTCTCCTCAAGTGGCTCTAAAAGCAATTCTCTGAGCCCTGGCAGCAAATATGGAAGGAGATAAGCCTCTAATATGACTATTTTAAAAGATAAGACTTGTTTGGTCATTTGAAAACATGTACCAAAAAATCAACCTCTAGAAACAAATTCCTCAGAATGGCAATCTCACTTCCCAACAGGGTGGTCCTTTTGAGCTATAAACTGCTGTCCCAAAATTGAAAAGAGATGACTTTTCTGACACTGCTCACTCTAAGAGACTTGGCTCTCATTTTGGAGAGCAAGGCTAATGGGGTTGAGAAGATAGGATAGTGGAATCTGAGCTCACATAGGGTTATAAGTCGTGAAGTCTTTAAAGAAATCTAACACCTCCCAGGACTAAGCAAGGCTGGAAAAAATAAATACCAGTTCCCAAGACAGCATCACAATGGGTTCTATTCAAATGTAGACATCCCCCAGGGACAGAAGAAAAAGTATTTTCAGAGTCCCACCTTAAATATGCAAGTGCCTAGTGCAAGGAGGAGCTGCAGAGCCTGGAGCTTTGGGTCACGTGATCTGCTCCATTGCCCTTGAAAGGCTGAGGAAGAATAGAGAATGAATATACTGGGGGATCCTGGTAAGCTTGTGCTTTGAGGGCTCTCCATCTGCCCACTTTTAACTATCCGGTGACAAATCGAGTTTCAATTTCAGAATGTCAGTGCAGTAAATTGGCCAAAAAATGTTTTGTCTCCTTGCTAGCACTTGTAAATAAGCCTTCTACTTCCAACCCTGAGTGCAAGGCATTTCAGCTCCTGGGAGTACCATCTTCTCTGACCTCAATATGAATCAGAAGACACAAAGATCAAAGAAGCCACTAAGTTTCACAGAAATGCACTCTTCGCTGTGTCACAGGGGCAACAGAAGTTCAAGGGCATTGAAAACGCAGTCTGGTCCTGGGTGGAGGCAGTATAACCAGAAAGACAACCAAAACTGGAGAAGTCAGATGTTAGCCCAAAATGACAGGGCATGATCTTAGAACTGGCACCAATCTGGGAATTGCTCAAAACATGCCAGGAGATTAAAATGCCCCCAGATATACAGTATCAGGGCCATTGATTGAGGGGGAATCTTTTTCCTGGCCCTGGGTCTTGGCAACAAATAGAATCAAGAATATTTATTTTTCTAGCTTGTTAGATTCATTTTTGCTCAGTCCCTAAGAGAGGCTTTCTTCCCCCTAGATCTATTATAAGCAGTGTGACCACAAGCTATTGTTCAAATTGAGACACTTTTGAAAGTGAAATTGGCACTGCTAATATTTTTTCTGGGAAACAGGTGTTAACCTGGGACTGTCCCAGGAAATCCAGAACTTGTCACCCTACTTTGTAACAGATGCATTCTCAGTGGATAACCTCCAAACTCATTGCGTGTTTCCCAGGGAATGAAAACAAGTAGAATGATGCGCCTTTCTGAGCCAACTGAAACCAGTATGTCCCCAGGCTGGCGTCTGACAACATACAACAGGTCCTGAAACCACAAACCACATCACCTTCCATTACTTGAAAAATAAGAAAATACCTGATGTTTACCAGGACACCCAGACATTTGCCTCCATGACTAAACGTCCTTTGTCCAAGGTCTTGGGGAAAGCCACCACCTCTGCATGTAGACATCCAATACCCCACATCTCCACACCTGCCCCACGCCTAACCCCAACTATTTTCCAAGGGAGTGGAGTGCCTGCTGCAACCATGCTAATGGGCAGCATCTGCGGATCATTGGGTTTACGGGTTTGATGACAGATTTTCAAAATATTGATTTAAACAAATGATCATTGTTTTGGCGGTTTTTTTCCCTTTTGATTTTTGTTAGGATTCCCTTGGGTTGCCTTTAAATTGCGGTTTTTTTTTCGTTAGTTTTGGGGCGGGGCTTGACTTTTTGATTTTTTTTTCAGGTCCCCGGTTGTTGTGAGCTGCTGGCCAATGGGCCACACTTTGAGTAGAAAGAGTCTATAGCATTTAGTTTCAAGACTTAATGATATTCTAGATTACCATATTGCTAAAAGACATAAGGGAAAACATGCCAATTAAATCTATACCCAAAAGTCAACATGATGAGAGGAAAGGGAGGGAAAATAGAAGTGAATAAAAAAATAGGGGAAATAGATTGAGAGGAATGTAGAAGGGGAAGAAAGAAGGAAGAAAGGGGAGAAGGTAAAAGAAAAGAAGAGAGAAACAAGAGGTGGAAAACGAAAATACACTACATTAAGTTAGGCTAGAGAAGAAGAAAATAATTAAGGTCTAAGTGGGTTCCTTTGGTGTAGTGGGAAGAAGCAGCTCTATCCCCACTGCTTATAGCACAAGACAGAAGTTGTTTCCATTCCTCCGGGTCCACAGCACTAAACATCTCAAGTTCCTTCATTTTCACAATCATTCACCAATCACTTAAACCAATAGCATAGAGTCCTCTAGTCCATTAACTTTTGAACTTCTTGACCATGGCTCAGCCAAGAAATATATTTTGGTGAACCACTAAATACACACACACACACTCTCTCTCTTTCTCTCTCTACAAATGTGTTACACATAATACTTTTAATATATGCAAAATATTTCCCAATTCAATTCAATGTTATACTCTAACCTACTCATTTTTCAGTTCATAAACTTCAGTCCCAATAAGGGCAGGCACTTGCCTAAGGTCATTGGGCTGGTGGTGAACAGGCTGGAGATCAGAACCCAGAGCTCCAACCTCACTCTCCATCCACTTCACAGCCATTGTGCCTTGCTCAGGTTCCCCAAAAACACAAAATCCAGAAATGGACTTAAAGGCAAGTTATTAAGCTGAGGCTTGGAATGTGTGTTGGGGTAAGATTTTTTTTTTTTTTTTTAATATTAGTAGTTTCCCTGTCTTCTTATTTTATGGTATATCATTCCCAGCCCTCACCATTCAAGCAATCATGATATCCACATTCATTGTCTTTGAGAAAGGATGAGACAGTACAAAAAGTAGAAAGCACCTTTAGGTCTCTTCCTGGTTTTGGCTTCTGAGAACTTAAACCATTAAGGGAAGAGTTAGACTTTAGACAAAAAGGATAACTGTACAGTATTTGAAGAGAGACTTTCCAACTCCCTCTCATAAGTTACAAAAATGATGCTCCTAGGTGAGAGTGAGGTGGTGGTGATAAGAGACAAGAAGGAGCATTAATTTCCAGAGGGATGAGTCCTAGGCCCTCTTCCCTAGGCAGGATCTCAAAAAGGCATCCAAATCCCAGACACTATAAGGAAGACAAAAATACTCCAGGAGAGAATGGCAACTGGATGTAGAATGTGTCCAGGCAGGTGGGCACCTTTCACCCTCACCCTGTGGCCCAGAGAAGCATGGAAGAGGTGGCAAATAGCACTTACCCATCAAGTCAAGACAGATGGAAAAGAGAATGTCTGCGCAATAGTCAATGTTCATGGAAGACCAAGCAAGACCCAAATGGCTCCAGATAATGGACCCAGTGCCTTGGCACTTTGTAAGCTCACTCAGAATTTAGGCACAACGCTGAGGAAAGTGGTGGTGCCTCTCAGTGCCTGAGATCTAGTTTCTACTCCCCACACAAACTGATAGCCCAGAAAAAGTTGAGTTAGTGAACACCAACTGAGAAAGTATAATTTCTTAAATATCTGAGTTGGTGAACCAAAAGTCTCTTTTTCTATTCCTATGACAACATGTGCACAGAGGTTTTTTCAAAAAACGAAACACAATAAATAATCAACAAGTTGCTTCTGAGAAGAGGCTTTACTTTCATTAAATGCATTTTTATTGTTTTCATTTTCTAAATCTATGCATACGTTCTCTTTATAATCTTTTAATATTTCCTGTGGTTAACAGGAACAATGGAAATTATGTATTAAAATTAATTATGTTACTTTAAAACAAAAGGATAATATATGCATATAATATATAGTCTCAAGAATGCATGAAAAGTTTCTAGAAGTGTACACAAGAGACTGTTAATATCTGTTGCGTCAAGAGGTTGAGGTAGAAGGGAGATTTACTATTCATGTACTATTTGAATTTGCTTTACCATATGCTACAGACTGAATGTATGTGACCCCCAACCCCACCCCCCCAAATTCATAGGTTGAAGCCCTAACCCCCAGTGTGATGGTATTTGGAAGTGGAGCTTTGGGGAGGTAATTAGGTCATTAGAGTAGAATCTTCATTAATGGGATTAGTACCCTTGTAGGAAGAAATACAAGAGAGATTCTCTTTCTCCTCTATGTGCAGACACAGCAAGAAAGCAGCCATCTGCAAGCCAGAAGAGAGCCCTCATAGGAACGCAACCATGCCAGCACCCTGATCTTGGATTTCCAGCCTCCAGAACTGTGGGAAAATAAACATTTGTTGTTTAAGCCACAGTGTATGGTATTGTTATAGCACCCCGAAGTGACTAGGAAACCATGGTGTGTATTTCTTATATATTACTTTTCCAATTTAAAATATGTGCTTGCTCTGATACTGACTTCTCCTTTTTCTGACCTCCTGTTATAGCAAGTCTGCACTACACAAATAAGCAGCCATGGTCTTTCATCATGTCAGAGAGCATGTGCTTTTCCAGTTGGATGGCAATGATGTAGAAGACCAATACCGCCTTAGCCTTCCTGGTCACCCTCATAGCAGTAAGCACAGGATGGGCACATAGTAAGCACTTAACAACTACTTGTCAATCGAATTTTTTGTCATAATATTTATGTATATATTTGTGAAACTATTTGATTAATGATTGCCTTCCCCCACTGGAAGGAGGGAATTAATGACTTTTGCTCACCATTGGATCTTTGGCAGTTATCTCAGGACATGGTAGATGGTAGGGGCTCTATAAATATTTCTTGAAGAATAAAAGAATAGTAAATAAGTGAATAGACTGAAGCACAACCAGGGATTCATATCACTTCCACAAATGTCTTCAGATTCATTTTACCCTTCCCATTTAAACTTAATAGACAAATAATTATCCAGTGAATTTTGTTTCTTGCAAGCACTGAAAGCATGAACTCATCTGCCCCCTGAGTCATAGGCCAGTCATAGGCAATCACAGGGAGGAATTTCCCTGAATTTCAGGATTTCCCTGAAGATTTAACCCTTTGGAAAATAATAATCTGTTTTTCCAAAACAAATAATTTCCAACAGCAACATTTACTTCGTTTATTTTTATTTGAAGTTTTACAAAAGGAAGCCAGAGTTGCAGCTAGAAGTTAATAACAGATTTTTTTGTTCCAAGATCTTGAGTTAAATAAATCCTCTCCAACAAGGTTGCCACACTGGTAAGCTTTAATATAATTTGGGGAAAATTGTCCCTGACATTTTACAAAAAGCAAAGAATAAACAAGTAACACTGCAGGGAACTACAATAAATAATAAGAATGGTTAGCTCTGTGTGGTAGGATTACAAGTGATTTTTATTTCCTTCCATTTTTTTGTATGTCACAAATTTTCTAAAATTGATATATATTATTAAGATATTTATGAAAAACATTTAAGTTGTTTCTCTCTGCCCTCCCATCCCCAAACTGCTCCTCCTCCTGGGTTTCCTAAGTTCAGTGAATGGCACCACCATCCACGTACTTTTCCAAGTCCAAAACCTGGGATCATTTTAGTCTCCTTACTGTGCTTCATCTTCCAGAGCAAATGTGATCAACATACTGATCCAATCATTGCTATTTGTCTTAGTCAACTCAGGCTGCTATAACAAAATACCATAGACTGAGTGCTTTAAATAACAGACATTTGTTTCTCACAGTACTGGAAGCTGAGAAGTCCAAGATAAAGGTGCAGCAGATTCAGTAACTGGTAAGAACTTACTTCCTGGGTTGCCACCTTCTTGCTGTGTTCTCATATAGCAGAGAGAGAGAGAAAGAGAGAGAGCTTGTGACCTAGTCTCTCTTCCTCTTCTTATAATGACACTAATCCCAACTTGGGGGCCCCACCCTCATGCCTTCATCTAAACCTAATTACCTTCCAAAGGCCCCCTACCATCACATTGGGGGTGAGGGCTTCAATATATGAATTTTGGTGGAAAGGGGACACAACCATTAGTCCATAATACTACTACATCCCAAAACTTAGCGCCCAAAGCAAATATTATTAACTCTCTTGGTTCTGTGGGTTGACTGGGATTCACTGGGTGGTTCTCCTTTGGGGTTGCCCATGCAGTTGCAGTCATGTGTCAGGTGGATATCCAAAGGGCTCATTCATATGCCGACAGCTGATGGTGACTGTCAGCTGGAAGCTCAGCTGGAGCTGTCAACCAAATTGCCTACACTTTGCTTGTTCATGTGACTTGGGCTTCTCACAGCATGGCAGTTGGAGTCCAAGAAAAAGCGACCCAAGAGCAATCATTCCAAAAGGCTCAGGTGACAATTAAGTGAAGTCTATATATCCTGTACATTGATAATTGGATATACAATCTTGAGATTTGGCTTCTATTTTTTGATGAGAATATTTCCTAGGTGGTTTTGTGTAACACCATTGAGAGGCACATAATATATGGCAATTTGTCTTTTTATGATGTTAACAGCCATTGATGATCAAATGCCTAGATAAAATAATTCCTCAGGAGTTCAAATTTGCATTTTTCAAAGGTCATTCTTGCTATCGTACAAGTTATCTTGAAAAGGAATACATGTAACAGCTCAATAGTTATGTGCAATCTCATGAGAATAATAAAAACCAAGTTATAATGACATAAATATTTATTGGATATCTCATCCAGGTTTGGTCATTTTAATTGTCTGTAAAAATAAGAAAGTTTAAAGGAAAGGAAAAAAGGAATAAATTGTTTTGGCACTCTATTTCACAGATATTGTTCAATTATTTCAGGAAGATTTCCATTAAAAAAAAAAAAGGTTAAATAAAACATCAGCTCTTAAAGATTAACAGAAAATTCACTTACCCCACAACCAGGATAAATAACTGTAGTATGAAAGTAAACATTTGGTTTGCTCAAATGCTTGCTTTTTCTTTCCTTTCTCCCTCTTTTCTTTCTCTACTCCCTCCCTCCTCTCTCTCTCTTCTCTTTTTCTCTGTTTTTTCCTCAGGTAAGAAAATATCTTGAGCTTTTAAAAAAAAATAAAGGCAGCACATCAAAATGTAACAAAATTATACTCACTGTGATAAAAGCTGCTTGTATTCAGAAGTTTCCTGAACTAAGGAGTGTGTACCCCAATGCAGTAGCAATGGTCAGACTTCTTACAGGAAGGCCAGATTGCACTTCAGCAATAACTCAGACCCCCCTACCTGCATTCACCTACAGAAAAGGCAGAGCAGCAAGACAGACAGACTATGGGTTTTGGCGTCTGATAGATCTCAGCTGGCTCCCAGCTCCACCACTTCCTATTCATCATGGTTAGTTCCAAGCAGAGTGGTGCTTCTCAAGCTTGAATGGTTACACCAAACACCTGTGGATGTTGTAGGACTGCAAAGTCTGATTCAGGGAGACTGGTGTGGGGCCTGAGATTCTGCATTTGTGACAAGCACCCAGGTGATAACTATGCTGCTGAACCACGGACCACACCTGGAGAGGTGAGGCTCTAGAATCCACAGGAGCCACTGTCTCTGCCCTTAAAGAAAATCAATCCTTTGTAAGATTTTCCTATGTGGAATAACATTCTCTCTGTTGGACCATGAGCCTATTAAATGACACTATCACCGCTTTAATGATCCCTATTAGTTGAAAATGTTTCCCAAGTAGGTTTATAATACATGGTATCACTTACTCCTTGACCACAGGGTGTTTATGGTAACTCACTTCAAGTAATACAGCATGTGAAAAAAGAGAACCCAGCACTGCCCTATGCAAAGAGCAGACAGCAAGAGGGTTTGGAAGCCCACCAGGAAGTTAGACTGTTGTTTCTGTCCAAGAGAAGCCAACATTGTACCACAGGCCTGAAGTCTGGGTGGCCCTTTGGGTTTCTAGTCTACATCAGAAGCAAACAAAAATGACTTTATGATAATTAGCCTCCACAACATGCTTTCAAGGGAGGCATTATTAGACCCAAGTTATAGGTGGAGAAACTGTAGACATGAGGAAGTCATTTTGCTCATCCAAGGCCACCCAAAGTGTCAGGGATGAAAATGAGGTTAAGAATAAAAAAAACTAGGGTAATCAGTCCTCAGTGTAAGCCATGGGACATTTCCTACGAGGAATGTTTATGCACTAGTAAAGAAGTCTATATTAAAATAAGGGGTAGAAAAGCACAAAAGAGGTCTAGGTAAGATATTCTGTTACTTTTGTTATAATTTGTTACAATTTTGAACGTATTATATTTGCCATGAGCACCTTTTACAATCATGGTTTCTTGGATTTCTTTTATTATTATGCCTGGACACATTATTTAACTTCTCTGTGCCTGAGTTTTGCCTGTGGAAAACGGAGATTATGATAGGACTTTTTGAGGATGAAATGAGATAATATATGGAAGGAACTTCAGCAGAGTCCGGCATGTGGTGAGCATTACAGAAGTGTTAGTTATGATTCTCTACACAGATAATGCAACACATCTTCTCCAACATGACATGAGCTTGCCTTTGGCAGAAGCCACGGGCTTCACTCTTCTATTCTCCATGACGCCGAGTGGTACTAAACTCAGAGTAGGCTTAAAGAATGGTTTCCTGTTTGAATTCCAAAGGCAGAACACTATGTGACTCAGTTCCCTTCCTAAGTTTCATACTGTGCAAATATAGCCCTCTAACTTTCCCAGGATATTTATCATGAGATGCCCAGTTTCTAAGAACTTTTTTAAATTATAATTTTCTCATTTTCATAATCTTCAGAGTGATTAGACAAACATCGTCTTATGTCAAACTTATAGCAATTCTCTATAAATAAGGAAGAATCTTCATGTGTCCATTTTACAGAAAGCGAAACTGAGACCCTGTGACACAAGTAAAAGAATGCCCTCAAGGTTATACTGATTATTAGTAATAACAGTTACTACTTAGTAGAATTTTTGAAGATTTAATATTGAACACATGAAATTGCTGATACTTTACCATTTGTAACCTACCCCCAAAAAGGTAATTTTATATTGTTCAATCTAAACACCAAGTGCATTGTGTTATTTAATCTTCATATCAACCCTGTAGGGTAAGAATAAATCTTATTTTACCAGCAAGGGAAATGAAAGTTTAGAAGTCAAGACACTTGTCCAAGATCAAACAGAGGAGCCAGGATTCCCAGGATTCAGACCCAGGTCCATATGACTCCAGAACTAGTAACAACTTTACCATCTGGGCTCTCCAGTGTACAGCTAGGAAGTGGCAGAGCTGACACTGCTACCTAGCTCTGCCTGTTAATAGAGCATTTTAGCATTAAAAATGTGGCATGTTTATACTCATTCTCCATAACAACCACATAAGGGAGGAAAGATCATCCCCATAATAAAGACGAGAAAGTGGAGGCTCAGAAAGTTTTAGTGACTCAGTCAAAGCCACATAGCTATTAAGTGTTGGAATTGATTCAAACCAGGGCTGCACAACTTTGAAGTCTGGGATCTTGACAACTACCATCTGTGGTTCCCAAACCCCCTGGGAATGTTCTGAAACTTCCGAAGTCCAGGTGACCAATCAAATCACAACCTCTTGAGGTGGAACACAGGTATTGGTAGTTCCTAGAACACCCCGAGTGATCCCAATGTGCCGACAAGCTTAGGAACCACCATACTTCATTCCTCCCCACCCCAGCCTGCTGCCTCTTCTATCATATCGCACCAACACTCATGACTCTGGCCCTGAGGTCTCTGCTGTTGGTTTAACACACAGTAGTACCCTCAATCGTGTTTTATGTAGGGTGAATGCCTATCCTCAGACACGTTCTGCAAAGAGTTAACAGCAGGAACCAAAACAAGGCAGAGCCATGAGACAATCACAGCATCTCCCAATTGAAAACAATCAGCTGTAAGTGAAGGCTGAAATGGAAAACGTTTCATCACAGGAGGCCCTCAGCTCTCTTAGGATTTTGGCTTTTGGCCCCAGTAGCTACCCTGAACAGAGACAGCTGAGCTGTGCTGGAGTCTGGCTGGGAAGCGAGGAGGGAGGCGCTGGCCAGTCTTGCAGAGTGGGATAGCCCTCTGCCTTCACCATTACTCACATTCGTCACATCAAGGTCAGGGCCATGCTACTGAACGTAAACTGGGAGGCGTGCATTCCCTCCAACTGTGTCCAGTCACCACCAGTTCAGAATAATTCATCTTTACAAACTTTGCTTATTTTTAAAAATATGTTTCTTTGATTCCTGCAAGCCAAACCCATGGAAAAATAACGGAAACCAAATGCCAGGGAAATGGAGCCAAGGCAAACACATGTGAGCTCTGAAATAACAGGAGATACTGTGGTCACATCTGACCTTCTGAACTGTGCTATGGGTTGAAGCAAAAACAGTTCTTGCTGCTGCTTAAGGGGTGCGTGGTAATAGTTTATTTGTAGTGCAGAAGAGCTTGGGCTTAGAGAGATCGCCTTTTAAAACTGTAGGGACTCGGCCAAGGGGCCAGAAATAATATCGTTTTGAGGAATGACTTTTTAAAATAAATGGCCACCCTTCACCTCTGGGATAAGCCAGAATCATCTGGGATAGACCAGAATCATCTGATTTTTATCTGTCAAATGATGAATATCTAAGACCTCTGGAGCGTCTACAAATGTTTCTGTTCTGATCACACTAATATTTATTTTGGTGTGGTCTAATATAGAAGCAGAAATGCAAGTTCTCTTATTTATTTCAGCAGCCTGCAAGAGATAAAATATGGAAGGGCCCAGAAGAAAAAGTAAAATCATGACCCAGGGTCAAAAGAGAGTACGGAGAAGTCTCCTGGTTTTCACACTAACCAGTTCAGTCCCCAGCAATAATGGCAGCCTCAGACCTGCTGGGGCGCTGCCAGCAGTTAGGTTCCTATGAGACGCCAGTAGCTGCATTTTTGGGCACACAAAACAAGTCACCAGGAAGAATGTGCTCCATGTTGACATTACCAAGAAAAGCCCACAAGCTACAGTGTTTATGCAAATGAAGACTGGTTCCCATGGAGGAGATGCTTGCATTAAAACAATAGACAAGTTTGCCTAAGAATGAAATATTCATTTTCATGTTGTTTTTCTGTTATTAATATTCTCTTTCTTTAGTTATATCATTTGACGCATACACAGAGGATATTCTTTTTCTCTCCAAAAGAAAAAAAATACATTATAGAAATAGCTTTATTCTAATTATTGTGGGGAAAAATACCCTACACATGAAATAATAGCATATATCTAATAGTATTTACTATGTGTTCAGACACAATAAAGCTTAATTGCTCATGTATTAATATATTTAATCTTCACAAACAATGCTTGCTATTATTGCCCAGAAGTTTTATTTTCATTTTAATGGAATCATATTTAGCAATCTTTTCATCTGTTCTCTTAGCATTTTTTTTAAATCCCCCAAACAATAAAAATAATCTCCTGTATCTTCTTCTACAAGGTTTAAATATTCAAATTTCATATTTAGGTTTATCATTTATCTGGAATTTATTTCAGATTAAGATATGAGGTAGCATTCTAATATATTTTTTTCCAAATGGAGTGCCAGTTTTCCCAGTGTCACTTATTCTCAACGCCACCACCACTTCCACCTTGGTAACACCACATTTGTCATATGTCATGTTTACATATCCCTGTGGGTTATCTTCTGAACTCTGTTCTGTCTATTTTGGTCATAACATCTACAGTATTAATTACTACAACTTCATAATAAATTTATATTTGACAGGATAATTCCAACACCTTCTCTCGCCCATCTTGTCTCTCTCCTTGTTTGATATTAACCTTTGCCCTTTCATATCAATTTTAGGATCACCTGATTAAGTTCCAAGAAAAACCCTATTGAGATTTTCGCTGTAACTTGCAAAGCACTTTGGGGGAGCAATGGTATCTTGTCAATACTGAGTCTTCATGTAAGTGCACATGGTATGTCTCGCCATTTCTTTAACCTTTCTTTTGTCAGTCATTTAACAAATTTTGATATAAAGGTCTTATACATTATTTTACGCATATTCCCAAGTACATTAGTTTTTTACACTGATATATGTTTTTAAAATATAGTTTCTATTTGTTTTATAAAAATTGATTGAGTTTTGTATATTAATAATTTATCTGGAAATCTTGCTGAACTTTATTAGTTCTAATAACTTACAGATTTCCTTGGGTTTTCTATGGAGATAGTCATATTACCTGTAAATAATGATAGGTTTTTCTTCTTAAATTATTTTACATTTTCTTTCTACTATTAAAATTCTTTGTTTTGTTCCTGATTTTAACATTTTATCCTAAAAATATTTACTGTAATCCCACTACTGGGTAGCAACCCAGAGGAAAAGAAGTCATTATGTTAAAAAGACACCTGCACTAGTATGTTCATCACAGCCCTATTTACAATAGCAAAGTCAGAGAATCAACTTAAGTGTCCATCAATGAATTATTGGATAAAGAAAATGTGATATATATATATATATCAATTTTATTATTTTATTGATCATATATATCAATCAATGAATTATTGGATAAAGAAAATGTGATATATATATCACATTTTCTTTATCCAATAATTCATCAATATATATATATATATCACAGAATACTACTCAGCAATAAAAAATAATAAAATCATGTCTTTGGGGCTGGGCACGGTGGTTTATACCTGTAATCCTAGCACTCTGGAAGGCCAAGGCAGGAGGATCACTTGAGGCCAGCAGTTCAAGACCAACCTGAGCAGGAGTAAGACCCCATCTCTACAAAAAGCAGAAAAATTAGCTGGGAGTGGTGGTGCTTGTCTGTAGTCTCAGCTACTTGGAAGGCTGAGGCAGGAAAATTGTCAAGCTCAGGAGTTTGAGGTTGCAATGAGCTATGATGACAACACTATACTCTAGCCAGGGAGACAGAGCAAGACCCTGTCTCAAAAAAAAAAAAAAAATCAGGTCTTTTGTAGCAGGAGGCCATTATCTTAAGTGAAATAACTCAGAAACAGATAGTTGTCTAGATAGATTAGATAGATGTCTAATATTGCATGTTCTCACTTATAAGCGGGAGCTTATCAATGTGTATACATGGACATAGAGAGTGGAATAAGATACACTGTAGACTCCAAAAAGTGGAAAGGGGGTGAGGGATGAGAAAAGATCTATTGAGTACAATGTACACTATTCGGGTGATGGTTACACTAAAAGCCCAGACTTCACCACTACCCAATATATCCATGTAACAAAACTGTACTCATATTCCAAAATCTATGAATATATATTTATTATTTAAAAAAATATTTGTTGTAGGTTTTTAGTAGATACCTTTCATTAATAAATATTCCTTCTGAGGGCAGGCATCAGGGCTTATGACTATAATCCTAGTACTTCGGGAGGCCAAGACAGGAGGATCACTTGAGGCCAGGAGTTCAAGACCAGCCTGGGCAACATAGTAAGACTCTGTCTCTACAAAAATAAATAAATAAATAAAGTATTTTAAATTAGCTGGGTGTGGTGGTGCACTGCTATAGTCCCAGATACTCAGGAGGCAGAGGTGGGAGGACCCCTTCAGCCTGGGAGTTCGAGGCTGCCATGAGCTATGATCATACCACTGCATTCCAGCCTGGATGACAGAGCAAGACTCTATTTAAGAAAAAAAAAGAAAAAGAAAAAAATTCTTATTCTTCTATCCCTGTTTTGCTAAGGGTTTGCTGAGAGTTTTAATCATGATTCATGAGTAGGTATTGAATTTTTTCAAATGCTATTGGGACAATCACATAGTTTTTCTTTTAATCTTTTTAATGTCAAACCATCTTTGCATTCCTATCATAAATCTAATTTTATGTTAATACCTTTGTTAACTTTCTAGTCTTTTGCTTCTTTATGCATATATACACATGAGTGAGGCTGGTATGCAATCTGTTCTTCTTATACTCTCCTTGTCTGAACTGTGGAATATTTCTTTATTTTCTATTCTTCAGTTCAATTGGCACTAGCATGAGATTATCTTTTCCTTGAATGTTCAGCCAAACTCACCAGGGCCTATAGGAGGTGAGAGTAAACTTTTTAATAGTTCATTTGATTTATTTAATGGTTAAGGTTACACTCCTGCTTCCATTTCTTTTTTTAGGTAATTTTGATAAATCCTATTTTTCTAGAACATTGATCATTTCTGTCTTTTCAATGTATTGGCATAATATTATCTTCTTTTTCATCTGTATGGCATCTGTATTTATGACTCTTTTCTCATTTCTAATATTGTTTAAGGTCTTTTTTTCAAAAAGTTTTGCTAAATATTTATCTACTTTATTAGGTTTTTTTTTTTTTTCAAAGAATCAATTAGAATGGATACTGCCTTTGCTCCATGAAGATTCCCTAAAGTCCTTTTACTCCTCTTCCTGATTCAGAGTGGTTTTGCTTCCAACAGCCAGCCCCTAAACTTTTCCTTCAGAGTACTGTCCTCGGGCTACTGAAGCCACTTTGCCCACTTCTGCAGAGACACCAAAGTGTCCAGGAATTCACACTCCACTTGGCCCTTAGCCAATAACCAACAGCTGTGGGAGTAGTCGCCCGCCAGGTGGAACAGCTCCACGTGTAGTTTATACTTCCGAGCCCACTGTAGGATCAGGCTTAAGCTGCTCTCCCTGGGACCTGGCCTGAACTGGCACTCTAGCTTAGTTTCTTTTCCCTGACTAGCTTTCACTGCCCCCTTACCTGCTTCTCCAGGGAGCATTTCCTTCATGGGGCAAGCATACATTCAACTTCACCTCAGAGTAGGCTTCCTAGGAACCCAAGACAACAGCTTTGTTTTGCTTTGTTTCATCTGATCCTTTATATTGTGTCTCGTTTTCTATGGCTGTTTCATTGATGCATCTCTTATCTTTATTTTTTTCCCCCCACTATTTCTGGGATATTTTATTTTCTTAAATTAGATTGTTAGCTTCTTAATTGTCAGTCTTTTTTTTTTCCTGGTATGATCATCTAAGGATGTAAATTGTTCTCTAAGTACTGCTTTAGATATACCCCACAAGTTTTAATATGTTACATTTTCATTATTTTTTTAAGATGTAAATGTTTCCTCATTTTCATGATCATTTCCTCTTTGTGGTAAACATTAGTGCCGAGTGCTGATCACTGACATCTCCAGTTCTCCTCTTTCTGGTCAAGTCCCCATATCTCTTGAAGTCAGCTATGGCAATGGATATACTTTGGCCAACAGAAATGAGTGGAAGTGGTGTGTGTTATTTTGAGGCAGAAAATTTTGAGCCACACACCCTTCTCCACCACTGTAATGAGTAATATGCCAGGTGGTGAAGTCTCCATCAGTGTGGGTTCCAGTGTGAGGAAAATGCAGAAGGGAGTTCCTAGCTGATTGACATTGGAAATGTATCATGAATGGGAAATAAGCCTTCATTGTTTTAAAGTATTGAGATATTTTAACTCTGTGTATTATTAGAGCATTATTTATACAAACCTGACTGTTGCATTTACCAAATAATTTTTAGAAGTATATTTCCTTCTCTCTTTTTAATTTTCAAGTGTATAATTTCAAGTATCTTTTTCAAGTCTATGTTGTATTGGAGTGTGGTCAAATAATGTGTCCTATATGTTACTGAGTCTTTGGTATTTGATGAGATTTCCTTTATGGCCTAGCAAGTGGTCAGTTGTTGAATTCTGTATGTGTAGACTAGATTAAGGTAGTTAATTGCATTGCTCAAACCTTCAATATCCTTATTAATTTTTGATTTTTGAATCTATCAATTGCTAAGAGATTTTTTTAAAAACCCACTATGTGTAGATTTTTTTATTTCTTTTAATTCAATTTATTGCTGCTTTAAATATATGAAGCCATATTATTAAGTATATGCAAGTGGCGAATTGCTTATTTTAGACTAATAAAATGACCTTCTTTATCCCTGATACTGCATTTTGTCCTAAAATCTATTTGTCAGAGTGGCTGCTCCTGTAAGGTGGTCCAAAGTTATCACTATCTGGACTGTCAGTGGCCTGAGGTCCTCTTTAGTATTAATTTCTCAGCTGAGGTGGTGTAGCATGGGGTTTCCAGACCATCACGTGGCTTAAATTCCGGTTCCAAACCCTTGAGAGGTAGACCTCCCTTTTGTCACCTTCCTATACTGATGGTAGATTTTTCCTAGTCACCCTTTAGTGAAGGCATAACTCCTCTGTGTGAAGGGGCCTAGGTTCCAACTTTTCACCTCCGCTGGCCCATAGCCTAGTCTCCCATTGGCCCTGGCAGCCTTAGCATCAGCTCAGCTCACACTCTTTCTCCTTCAGTTTTCATAGCTCTCTTCTTCTTTCCTTTCCCACCCTTGGGATTTCACTTATTTTATTAGCACTTTTAAAAGTAGTTTTACAGTAGGAGGATTTTAGATTATCTGGTCCCAGCAGACTTAGAAGTTGTCTTAATTATATTTTATAACTACGTGTTACTGATGCTTTTCCCTTTCCGAGCGAAGAGATCAGCAGGCTGAAAGCAGGATTAGAGATAGGATGGAGAAAAGAGCCTTATGTTCCTGTTTTTTGGAAGATATTCTCTTTAGACCACCAACTCTGAGATCACCATCTCATCCTAATTTTTTTTTTTATTATCCACCCTCCTCCTCACCCTAATTTTTAAAAAATAATCTCTTAGTTTTATTTTTCCCCCCATTTTCCTCTATTTTTCTGTGGAGGCAAAAACCAGGGAGAAAAGATTCAGGGATCGTAGAAGGATAATCATGAAAGAACACCACTGATGATAATAACAGCATTAATGATAAGAGTTGACATTTATTTATTAGCATTTAAATAAGCCAGGCCCTGAGCGAAGTGCTTTGCACATGTTGTCTCTTTGAAGCCTGAAAACACTGTGAGGCAGTGCATCTTAGAAATGCCAAGTGATTTACTCAAGTTCACACATGCAGGAAGTGGTAGTGATC